TTTTATTCTTGTAGAAATTTCAATTTTTGTTAGAATATGCTTTTGACTTTTTAACTAATATAATTAATAATTTTAATATATATATTTTTTATCCCAAAAAACTATTAATATTTATAATTTATGTTCATTTAATAATTAATATTAAGAGTTATTATTATTATTTATAGTTATTATTCACCACTATAATTGAAAAGTCACAATTACATTTTCTTCTATACTATATTAGGGTATCTAGATATAATGATAGTGTGCCAGTACAGTACATTATTTTTTTTTTTTTTTTTTGATATTTCAATAAAAAACAAATTGGATTGAAAAAAAAATGTATGTGTGACTGCAATTGTTAAGTGGACTGTTAAGTGGTTATTATTTGTTTTATTTATAATATTGCATTGAAAATATATGTACCTATATTATTTACTTTACTGTATTTAAATATCGACTGGTGAAAATAATCACTTATTATAAAGTGAATTTAGCAACTTTAATGAAAAAATCTCTTTGAACTCTCAAATGTCATATAAATTGACTTTTGGGACTCAAACTTTTGTTTGGAGTTCGCAAATCAAAACTTTTGTAACTTTCAGTTAAAGTCGATCACACCCACTTAATAACTAATACTTAAAAAGAATATAATATTAAGTTTGCACGCATACCGTCCAACTTAGAATTCTTAAGTTCAGCAAGATGATTTGTTAGTTGTTAAAGATAAATTATACGGATCAAAAGTTATATGAGCAATAAGGGCATCTATGCCGATTTTATTAAAATGACTCAAAAACCATTGATTTGAAAATTTTTTAGTAAATCTACTACATGTTATACACTAATAGTCATGAAGTTATCATAGAATAACTCAACACATTTATTCGAATTAGGTAGGAAAAGATTTATTTAACATCTCACAAGGTTATTAAATATTAGTTTTTGTTACTAACAGTACTGGCGATGCATACGCGGATTTTTTCTCCGTAACAATGTCTGCTTCTTTCCGTTCTTACACTATTCGGCCGATTGTATCTCGTTTGGACGCACTGGCACGATATGGCTTACTCATTACTGGATTTCCATCATCCACGATATCCATTGCTAGGACATCCGTACACCCGAGCTCTTTTAAGTCAAATGTAAAACACTCACAGTATTGATTTAACAGTTGTACTAGCCTGTCAACTTCTTCTTTAGTAAACGTTGAACCACATTTCAACATATCCGTAGTTATTGGTGCCTTCAGGTCGTGGTTGTTATCAACTGAGATCTGACCTTCGCGTATAGATCATACTGATTGGTTTCTGTTTAGTTTGATATCTGTATCTTATACATTGATGATCATTACCTTTAGACTTTGATCACCAGTATTTACTAATTACTTTTACCACTTTCATACTGTTTGATGGTATTTTTTCGGTTTCGCAAGCAACTCGCACTATTTGTTTGCTAGCCGACTCACTTGGAACGTTACTCTCCTGATACGGCATCATCGTATCATACCATAGGCAAACTGCAACTGATCCTTGGTTTTTATGAATGTGACATTTTCGCAGTCTGTAAAGGAGCGCCCTATTATCATGTCATACTATTGAACATGGTCGTCGACTACCACCAGTGTGATGAGTTCACTCACTTTATCGACAGGTATGGTTGCTTGAGTTTCACCACAACTCGCTACTGATTGTGCATTTCTATAAACGTATATATTCATTGTTTTAGATCCAACCTTCAACCCGTAAGACTCTGCAATAGTTTTCTTTACAATACTAAATGAACTTCCGGTATCAACTAGACCTTTGATAGTTGTTTGACTGTCGTTGATTTGGACTTCCTTCACATAATACATGTGTTTGCTCCTAGTTTGACTACTCACTAAACTAACATCCGGTACACTGGTTACTTGACAATATTTTGCTCTATGTCCTTCCGACTTACACTAACTACACTTCAGTGGTCGTCGTGGTTGTGCACAATCCCTCGAAATGTGTCCAGTCTGCTGGCAATTATAACACCGTGGTCCATCGTTGGTTTTTCGAGGATCATTTTTCACTGAAGTACTCGTGTTTGCATCAGGTTTTTCCGAGCTCGTCTTCGGTCCAATTCCACCTTTCGAGGTGGTTCCTTGTTTACCAAGTGTTGACATATTTCGAAAACGTTCACCACGATTTAAGTTTATTTCGTTGAATGCACATTCTTCTTCAAGTACATGACCATTTCCCATCAATGCGCATGCCATATCTCTTGAATTTAACCCGACACAAATCATTTTTTTTGTTTCGCTCCTTGATAAGTTCAGTCGGCGACACATTCGAACTTTATAATGAATGTAGGCGAAAACAGTTTCGTTTTTTTGTTGGACGCGTTCTTACATTCTTTTCCACGTTTCTGTGATGCCCTTTTGACCCATGAACATAGCTTCAAACGACGTAGAGAATTGCTTGAAAGTTGTAAGTTCGATCATGTGGCTCAGGTACCAATGCCTCGCTGCACCCTCTAAATAGTATCGTCCCGCTTCTAACGCACTCGTATTAGGCCAGCGGTTTAACTGCGAGGCGGTTTTCAAAGCATTCAGCCATTCCATTATAAAGCGGATCTTACATAACAAAAGGGCAGTGGAGACGACCTGTTTAGCGCAGCTCAACAAAAGTTTGAATTCCAGATTAAACAATTTAACACCAGAATTCATAAGGAATTATATTTTACGTGGAGACAAAATAAATGTAGTGGTATTGTTTGGTGGATCTTATGATAGAAATATTCTAAGTAGAATAGGGTTAGGTCACATAGAACTTTTAAACATTAGGTGCTACGATTTAGATTTTAATGGAAATTTCTATATGCTCTTGGAGAAACTAAAGGGAAAAACAACCGAAAGAATATTCGAGTATAGTGTAGGTAGAATCCAGAAAAATTGTAGAATATTGAATTTAACTGAAGCGCATAACGGCATCTGTACGAAAAAACACAAGATAACGTACGCTCACGACCCAAAGGCGGATGTGAGATTTACCAAATGCATATTCAACAAAATGGTTAGGGAATATGGGTACCAAAACTTAGTAAGACAATTTAATCAATAAATTAATGACTTAAAATTGCCTAGGTCAATATAAACGATATCACGTACAGAACTCCACAATGTAAAATATAATTATTACGAATTTATAACTTTTTATTATGGCAACTAACAAAATTAAAAGTAAATAAAGAGAGCAGGAAGTAACAATAGATACTAGTAAACAGTTGTAAGTACAATACAAAAATAATAATTTGAATAAATTTAATTTCAGAATAGAAACAGAAATTAAATAAGATTAGAACTCGGTGCGGTGTATAATAGGGTGGCATATTTGATCTATTATTATTAAAAATTGATCAATGGGACACTATTATATGCTGAACAGATTAACCACTTAAGGAAAAATTTTGGAATTTTGTCATTTGGTGGTTGGTTCAAAAATTGTGTGTATAGCAATTTTTTTAACGGAGCCAAATGGACCAAATGGACAAATAAATCTCAATAAGAAATTAGAAGGAAAAGGTCTTGTTAATTTAGCCAGTGTAGTAGAATGATGCTTTGATTGTAGCACATTTTGAGGTCACGGTTCGAATGGTTCGATTAGCAAGATAAAAACACATACAACAATAGAATAGAATAAAATCAATTTAATGCTAGTCTTGATTATGTAATAGAACTTAAATAAAATAGTTTATTGCTAGTCTGGACCTGCAATAAAAAGATAAAATCAAATAATAGTAATAGGAATAATAATATTAACTAGATATAAAGTATAATAATATAATGGAAAATATATATATAAGAAAAGATATAAACGTAAAAAAAAATCTGTTAATTGTAAAATGATCAGGCTGAAAACCACTCTTACGTTCGAACTGTCCAGATACGCTACTTGTTACAAAGGTGGTCTTCTATTTCACTGACTCGGTTAGCGGCACTTGCAGTGATCTGAATGATATATCTGCAGTGATCTGCGCATGCTACCCACATGAGCTCCAGGTTGCAACTCCACTTCCTTAGTACTGTCATTGATGACCATCACCTCCATCTGTTGATCTCCAACCAGTTTTTACCTAGCAGGTAGTTTTTCAATTGGTTGAATAATTCCCACGTCATACACTTGTGGATCGCCTTGTGGTATATCAGTATCGTGGTAGGGAAACCACATACCATAAGAGTAGTATAGAAAGGCTGGTTCTGGTGACCCCCCGCTTCACCACCCCCCCTATACCGCGCCAGTCTGCGCCATCCCCGCCCTCCCCGCCTAAACAGCGCCACTCTGCGCCAGTCTGCGCCACCAACCGCCCCACCCCCCAACCATACCCCGGCCACGTTGGCCACGCTTGATAACCCCCCACCTCACCTCCTACCTATACCTACTTCAACACCGCCCCCGCTCTCGGGAACGTACGCCACACCACCCCACCCAGCTACCACGCTACACCTCCGCACCGCCCCGCCCGCGTATTTCCGAACCCTAACTGAGCTGGGGCACTAGTGCCCGAATCCGGTTAGACTCCGTAGTGCGGGTCTTCACTACGTTCCCTAACTGATTTAGGGTACACTATTAAATATTCGTTTACAAAGCATATTTTTGTACCTATTGTACCTATTAGGCTGGTACCTAGTGCGATATCTTATCTTCAATATTTCTAGCTAGATTTCTTTTAGTATTTCTGGACGTTAATGATACTAATTTCCAACATATAAAGTAGGTAGATATACTGTCAGTCTTATCGATAAACTTTTCCTATCCAAGCTATCTTTAAGTGTCTATACAATTTTTTTTTTTAATCGAAGACAGTGTCCAGTGTGCCGTGCCATATTCCACATATTGTAACACATTTGCCGTTTACAAGCTGGTGGAATTCCTCTTGGTTATATTATACATCAGTTACAAACGCAAGAAAATTATACACTTGGTTTTGCACAGTTAAAGTCAGTATTAGGTCCTACTGCATTTGGAGGAAGAGGAGAACCCCTTGTTATAATGACTGATGATAGCTCTGCCGAGAGAAATGCATTAAAATCAGTTTTTCCTCACTAAAATTTACTTCTGTGCATTATTCACGTCCTTCAGGCTATGTGGCGTTGGTTATGGGACTCTAAACATGAAATCGCTAATCAAGACCGAAAACATTTAATGAAACTTTTCCGCAGTGTTGCTTATGCAGATAATGAAGAAAATTTAGTAGAAATGGTAGACATATTAATGAAAACAGATCAAACTTCAGAAAAGTATCCAAGATTTAAGAATCATTGTGCATCGCTTTTAAACCGTAAAAAATAATGGTGTATTGCATATAGGTCTACACTTCGAACTAGAGGACACAATACCAACAACATTGTTGAATCATCAATACGTGTATTTAAAGACATAGTTCTTGAAAGGTGCAAGGCTTTTAATGCAGCGGTGCTAATTGATTTTGTTGGAAATACTTTGAAAGATTATCATAGGCGGAGATTATTAAAATATGCAAATGTGCGGATAAGTAAACCAGAACTCCACTTCCAAAAATTTTTCCAACTGTCAAAAGGGTTGATTGTTCAAAAAGAAAATGAATATTTATATTATGTGTCATCATCTACAGATGAAAACATGTTTTATTCAGTAGACATTGAGAATGAGACATGTGATTGTCCAGCTGGAAGAGGCGGAAAATTTTGCAAACATCAATGCGCCGTATTTTTGCAAGATGAAAAATTAAAATTACAAAATTTACCGAACTTAAATTTTGATGATAGAGTTGTGTTGGCCAAATTAGCAATTGGTAGTGTTGATGAAACATTTTTTCAAAATATGAATCAATTGGATGCAAATTATGACAAATCAAGTAATGAAACTGAGGCACAAGATAACTTTGATGAGTGTATGGTTGTATCCACAAATTCTAATATATTAAGATTAAATTTAGATAATGCACCTGTCGATGAAAATAATAGCGTTAAAATATTGGAAATAACCAAAAACCTCCAGGATAATTTGAATAGAATAACCACTTTAGCATCAGAATCAAATACCTTGTACACGCATAAAATAATGAGTTCCCTGACGACAAAATTATCGGCGATAACGAGTTCGTCTGAAGCACTTTCATTTTTGGCTCAGGTGTATAACAAAAAGAGAGGTCGACAAATTGGAGTCCAACCAACTTCACTTGCTAGAAGAAAAGTAGGATTGACTTTAGGTTCAAAAAGAGTGCAAGCAGGGAGACCTACTGAAAGTGCTCCTCCAAACAAAAAAAGAAAAAGAAACCTAGCTAGCAATATTGACGATAATAAATGTAGTTTCAACTCCAAATCGCACTGACTTACTAACATAAAATGTAAATAAATAACAATATTGTAAATAATTTAATGTATTATTATGTAATTAACTAGGTATAGTATAAATCGCATTGTTATAAACATGTCCCCCTTTCTTTTTTAAATTGACTTACCCAAATTATATGGAATATAAATAAATGTATTAGTTGAATTATTTATTATACTTGTTTGTTTTCATATTAGCATTATACTATTAATGTTTAATATAATAATATAAATTAATGTATTATTATGTAATTGACTAGGTAATATAGGTATAGCATAAATCGCATCGTAAAAATTATTTATTATACTTATTTATATTCATTAAAAATACTAAGTTAGGTACGAAAAATATATACCGACGACATAATATATTGTACCAATGTATGTACAAGCTGAATAGGTACAAAAATACGAATATTGTATAGTGTACCCTAAAACAGTTAGGGAACGTAGTGAAGACCCGCACTACGGAGTCTAACCGGATTCGGGCACTAGTGCCCCAGCTCAGTTAGGGTTCGGAAATACACGCCCCGCCCCTTAGGCGCTCGCCACGTGGCGTCCATCCTGTCCGTGGCACGCTCTGTCTGCGACGCGGCGGGCTCATCGTCCGCCGTCCACTCGACCAGTATTATATTATCAGCGACGGGGGTGACATCTAACCGTTAATCGGAAAGACGAGGTTTTTCGAAATTTATCATATTATATTTCAATATTACCCTTATCATATTATATATATACATACATACATACATACATACTTTTACCAGGATACCAAGTCAAATACTAACACGATTTAATTGTTTAATATAATTCGATGTTTATTCAATACAAATATCATATACATACATATTATATAGGTAATTGTGTTATAATGAACATGGGTGGCGGTGCTGTAGGTCACCCGACGACATCATACGATTGAACGATTCAGATTTACATATACGGTCTTGACTATTACTATTATCGCGATTATTACCAACATCATACGGTTCTGATTTACAACGAAAACAGTCTCGAATGCCTCTATTATCACTACGTTTGCGATTAAATTCATTTTTTACATTTTCAATAAATTCCATGCCTTTATATAATAATACGAATACACATTTAGGGTTGTGCAGGGCGTGTTGTTGCCACACTTCGTCATTTTCCTCCCATTGCCCCAACAATAACCCGCAGTAGATAATGCGTTCCAAGACTTCCAACTGTTAACGTTTAAACGTGAATAAGACGCATCTAACCAGTGTAACCGTCTGTAAGCAACTGTCGGTTATATGGCGAAAGCTAGAGGTCGTTGCAATCCATATACAGAATAATAATAATAATAATAATATAAATTAAAATATTTAGTTATCCCCAGTTATCAGATAACAGTGTTAACCGTCGTAGGCAGATCTGCAAAATATTATTACCACCGCTGGTGTCGTTATCATGGTCGACACATGGCGCGCGATGTACATATTGCGTCCGTTAATTATAAAATGAATCATACCCCAGCGCCACTTAGTACTAGCGGTCGAATATTTCTACAGCCTTTATAGATAATGTCGGATACCCCTCACCACCCGACCGCCCACCACAGCATCCGATATTCGGGTCCACCGCCAGCGCATATGTTCTACAAATCAGACGGTCAGTGCAACTCAACGACAACTGGTGTACATTCGTATTACCTCGCTCACCCCGTTAAATCTTTCCTCATATTAAATCTTTAAAAATGTTTAACTGTGCTATGTGTGAAAAAGTGTACGTACATAAGCGCGATTTGAACAGACACGCTAAAACCCACGATGGATCAGTGATTTCGTGTGGAATATGCTTCAAGACGTTCGTCCAGCGGAACAACCTCAATATTCACGTTCAAAAATGTCACAGTAAGTACATTGAATATTATTCGTCATCGATTCGAAAAAATACACATACGATGTTTTTTTCGGATCGACAATGATTTACTCGGGGTTATTAATTAAATTATTTTTAAAATAGAGATCGTTAAAAACACTCCAGAATTCCACAGTGCTGTACGAATAGGCGGTGCAATGGGTAAATAATTTTTTTCTCTTATAAATAATAATAACGATAATAATAATAATAATATATTAATAATATAATATGTTAGGTCGCACATCAGTCATAAAGTGGGCACCTTCCGCCGCTACACCGCATGCTCGACCAGATGTTCTGACTCCGACGGTCATCTCGCCACGCCGCGGTCGTGTGGACATACCTACCCCCCAAATTCAAGCCTCATCATCATCATTGTCCAGCCGCACACCGATTATCGTTTCCCCGCCACCCGCACAGACCACCACGACATGGTCCAACGTGACATCCCCCGCTACCACCGCGCCATCGAGGCCAGATTCGCCATTGCCGAACGAGGAAGGTGTCGCTTGTACAGAGAATACTCCTAAAAACATAAAACGTAAAAAGTCACGCATGCAAAGGGTTAATACGCCGGGCTTTATCGAAATTGAATCTTCGCTCAGCCGCGCGCTTTGGTCTTCTCTATTAAAAATAAATAAATAAATAAACATATTTATGAAAACATATTCTAATATGATAAATATAATTACTGAATTTCTTCTTCTCCTTCGGACCCGTTCCCAATTTCCATCAGTTCATTGGGGAAGGGATGGTCGGTGTCTTCATCCTCATCTTCGTGATGAGATTTGCTAAATAATAATTAATTTTTAAAAATTAATTATTATTTTATTATGATAATATAATACTAAACATTGTACCTTATTTCCACACGATTGTTCAGGATGGTCGTTAAAAATGAGAAAAATATTAATACAAAATCCATTTTATTAAACACTTCAAAATAAACTGTGTAAGTCGGAAAGGAAATAGATGTTAATATAGAAGACGGATGGTGTGTAGTAGATGTCGCGGAACAGACTGAATTAGTTTTAAGATCCAGTGCGTATGTCGATTGTATATAGCATTCATTCTAGGGGCGTACGAGGGGTTTATACATGTATATATATATATATATTTGGGTCTAGATGGATAGTAGTTTCACAGAATAACGTTGTAAACAGCTAGTATACATTATATTATAATGTGTAGAACATGCTTCCTCATAATAGGACAGCGTGGCTTGTCCGCGGCTTTTCCTACGGTCAGTGAAAAGAATGCTGAGGTTGAACATCTGAACGCTGTTATCAGTATTTCTAATACAACTACATTGAGGGTATACAATTTTAGCTAAATCCCCTATTATGCTTGACGACAAATATATGTGGAGTATATTATTTTATATTATATTATAATATGGTGTAGTAATATTATATTGCTTCTCTCTCTCTCACTCTCTCTCTCTCACTCAACGAACGAAGAATATACAGGGTCGCGTGGTGTAGGTATCACAGGTCTAATAATACCGAGGTATTGATGGGGTGTGAGGTGGTGAGACGGAGAATTGTGAACGTCCACATACATGACAAACGGTGTGCATGCGGGTTTGGGTGGTAGGACATCGTTGCGTATATATCTCCGGATTGAACTAGAAGCAGTCGAAGCGTTCCCAGCTTCAGCTTCTGCATATTGCTTAATATTACATGACCAAATTATAACTTATAATCCATTTAATGGTGAAGTAAGAACCTTGTAAATACTCATTGTAAACCTTGTAAATACTTATTGTAAACCTTAATATTATTTTAATAAATGAAAATACTTTTTTTATAAATCACGTTTATTTTTATTTCACATCAAATATATGACGCTAAAAGTTATGTCAGTTACGTATTTAACCAATACAATTTTATTTCTTTATAAGTACAATATGAATAATAATTAATATGCACAAATATTTTCAAATAAATAAGTATTGCGTAAAGGCACCGGGGAGATTTGAACTCCCGATCTCCGTCTTACATTCCGGTGCTTTAACCAACTAAGCCACGGTGCCTGTTTACCGAAGATGAGTACAATATATGTCATGTACAGTACCTAATATGGTGTGAGTTTAGGCGTATATTCTCATGTAGGTATCACATATTATTATGTGCATGTATCACATTACGTACACCCGAAGAATATGTTAAAAATGATTTAATAGGTAATTAATAATAATAATAAAGGCGAGTTTAGGTAATCATAATATAGACTAGTGAATATGATTAAAATGAAAAGTGAGGATGCATAAGCATATTTGTGTTTAATTCAAATTTAATAAAATAAATGTTGTATTATTTCTAACATGAAATGTACTGTATCAACGGTGAAGTCTAAATATGATAGTTTTATTTTTGCATTCAGTGATCAAACTATCTCGAAGACGACGTCTAAGACCCTCAGAGTCGATATCCTCTATTCTCCCTAGATACCTATATACATACCTACATTCTACAAGTTACATAAAAATATAATTTTGTGTATTTTGTCGAGTAATCCTCTGAGCTGAATAAAATATAGGTAGATCTAATATCTATCTATTTTAATTGAGATATTTTTCTATAATATGCGTGTTTAAGCTTAGGTACTATGGTCTCATCTAATAGAATTGAACTATCTAGATGATTATTGGGCATAAGAATTTTGTAGTAATAGGTATAACCAATTGATGAGCGATGTTGTACTTTTGAAAATACTTTTTAGGGTGGATATGTATTGGAATGTTTAAATGCATCTATGCAAATGTGACTAAGTATTTTAAAGTATGTATTCCATGTGTGAGTGTGTCTATATGTAACGAAGTGTCTTTTATATTGATATGTAAGTTGTATATCAAGATTAGATGACGTGTGTGATGGTGTATATAATATGAAAGTACCTATTTATGTATGAATGCTGTATATATGTGCCATGTATGGGAATAAATGATTATGAATATATATTATGTAAGTTTTATATTATGTTTAGGTGTTTCTTATAATGAATGTAATAATACTTTTTGAAATGTTGTGTTACACGGTGGGACATGTAGAAATGCCCGCTTAAACTGATGAAACTTCCCTGTAAAAAGGTGCTCAGAATATTATACAAATATGTGTATGTATGTATATAATGTGTAAGTATCTAAATATGTATGAACTAACCTATGGTTATATGAGTGTATGTGCATGTATGTGCTAGAGAAAGGGATGAACGAAACTCATCGACATCTGTAAACGGTTGTCGTATATTAGTATAATATATATATTTCTGTATGTTGTCAGGTAGAGGAATGTCTACGAATATCTCTATACTTTAACGTGTATATTTTGAAAAATATAATTTTTTACAAGTTTATGTATGTGTGTGTGTGTGTGTTTGAGATACATTCCGGTGTATAACTTATGCTATAGCGATTTGTTTTTTCGTATGTAATTATATAATAAGAAAACTGTATACTATTTTTATGTATGTTTGTATGTATGTATGTATGTATGTATGTATGTATGTATGTATGTATGTATGTATGTATGTATGTATGTATGTATGTATGTATGTATGTATGTATGATAATGTATGTATTATGTTGAGCGTGTCGGTATTGTAAATATTATCATATAAGATTGGAATGTAAAACTGATGAAGTCTATATGGTATCATGTGTTTGATAGTATATTATAGTTTGTAAGTGTATGGCCATATCATATTTATATGTATAAATATTATGTAAATTGTATAATATGTTCAGGAGTTTGTGATAATGATGTGTATATAATTGTTTGGATGTAATATTAAGTAAGTATGTATATATGTAAGCTATATTATAATATATTTGAAATAAACACTGTTTGAGATACATTCTGATGTATAACGTAAGTTTCAGCGAGATGTTTATTCGAATATGATTATAATCTGAAAATGATAAAAAACATAAAGGTTACAATCCCTGGTTTAAAACCTCTGAGTATAACACATTATTTTATAAAGTTCAGTTAAACTTCCTAATATGGCTGTGTGCATTAAATGAAAATATTTTTCAAATTATAAATTATAATTAGTTTTATTTAATTTTATATAATTATTCATTAGTTTGAGAAGTATCAAAAAGTAATCATTAAAACAAAAATGTATTATTTAATTAGATTGTGATTAATACATTTTATATAATTATTATAATATTGGTTATTGTGTTGAACTATTACAAATCTGTTATATTATAATATTTCATATTATGCGTTAAAAGCTAATAATTTGTTAAAATACTTATTTTATTTATTTATGGAGAATTTAACCATAATTTGCCATAATTTGGAACACAATAGAGGTAGAAATATAGAATTTAATTGAAAGGATATGAGTAGTTATTTTGAAAGTGGGATAACATACACAATGATTACTTCTTAAATCAGACTTTTAGGTTTATTTAAAATTCAGTGCACAAGCTATTTATGGCTTTTTTTTTATTTTGGATTCGAATCCATTTTAGCTAGATTTTCAGACTTGCACAAAAACACGAACGTATAAAATATGTATTTATCACGTACAATTATAAAAAAAAATAAATAATCACATTTGACAATTTTTTTATGTATTAAAAATAGAAATAATTTTAGCACCCGTCTTTATTATTACATCGCTGATTACAATGTTCTAGTTCTTATATCGTATCTTGACCTTAACCTAAAACATTCACGTCTTCAAAATCATTGTCTGTTTTTTAGTTACATTTATGAAGGTTACACATGTTATGTTGAAAATTTCAGACGAACATAATAATGGGTGGATAGTTATTTTTCAGCTTTTGACACGTAGCTTTATTGTTTTTTTAATCAAATTTTTTTTAACACGATAGTTTTTTTTGGCAATAACTTATTTGTTATTAAATTAAATAGGTATCTATTTGATATGAAATTAAAGAAAAACAATTTTCAATATTTTAGTTAATTCATGTGGTACATAGCACATAATATAGTTATCAAGTTTTTAATACTTCTATAGTAGTATTTTTTATTTTTAGTCTGATGGAAAATTATTTGGATTTTAATATATTTACACGAAATGGGTTTAAAATTGTATTGATCCATTATTATTGGTATAAATTGTATAATTAGAATATATTATATTTACACATAGTAATAAAATACATATACACATACATACATACACTAGGTATATTAATAAATAATAATGCAGATAAAAATATATTGTAGCATTTTTTACCAGTTTTACTGTTTCCAAACGGTCTGGGTTATATTCAGAATTTAGATTAAAAAAAAATGTACCATTCAGGTTTTTGAATGTTAAAAATTATAATATTTTTACATTTCTGTGTACCTTGCCGTAAATGATATAGGTCCAATATTCGAATAACGTATTTTGTTCAATTTGATTTACATATTACAACACTATTGTAACCAATAAGCTTATAATTATAATAAATGAAAATAAGTTTACAACGATGTTTAAGTAGTGCAATTTTTGTAAATTATTTGTTTAAGTCTTGTAATATGGTCATCTCTCGTATAGGTACGTGTATCTCATAATATGTGTACCAAAGAGAAAAAAAATATGATGAAAGTATTTTTGCAAAAAATATATAATATTATATTACTATCAGAAATTTTCAGAAACCATCTTCAAATATT